TCCCAGGAACATTCCATGTTGGTGGTGAGTGGGTGGGAACCCAGCCTTGGGAGTTAATGGGGAAGGCAGGGAACGTAATTCTCCTCTGGCATCAATGAAGCGGGGGGAGCCTGGGGGAGCTGAGCAGAGGGGGAGGAGGCTGGTCCTTCCAGGGCCCTCCCAAGAGGTTTCTGCATTCACATGCAGCCCCAGAGGCCGGTGGTGGGCGCTGCCTCTGAGGGCCAGAGGTGCCCTGCGAGCTTGGCCTGTCAAAGCTGGGAGGGATGCTAAAGTCCCAGCCCCTCCTCGTTGGCACTGAGGAGGGGAAGGGGCTTCCCACAGCCACCCACAGGCTCCCTCCACCCAGCCGAGCTCTTTGCTGCCACCAGGAGGTGCTCTGGCCACTTACCCCAGAGTCTCAAATCGTAAGAGCTTTGGGCAACCAGCCATGGACGTGGATTCAGAGCTGTAAGGAGCCTGAGGAGCCATGTGGTCTACATCCCTCCCATCCATTTTACAGATGGGGAAGCTGAGGCACAGAGTGAACCAGGTGGTGCCACAGTGGATAGTGTGCTGGACATGGAGTCAGGAAGACCTGACTTTGAATCCTACCTCAGATTCTTATTAGCTCTGTGATCCCTGGGCAAGTCACTGACACCCCCCCTTGTTGTGAGGAGATAATGAGATAGCATGTGTACAGCGCTTTGTAAACCTTAAAATGTCTAAGCAATTTTTTTTATCTCAGTGTGCCTAAGGTTGCCTAGGTAATAATTGGCAGAGATGGGATTCAAACCCAGGCCCTCTGAATCCAAACCAAAGCCCCTTTCTTCTCACCATCTACAATGGTTTAGTCATCATTGGTTGCCTGTAAGTGACAAGACTCTACTAACCAGAGTTCAGTGATCTCTAGGACCGCATCGTCCAACCCTCCAATTTTATAGAGGGGAAAACTGAGGCCCAGAGTGGTCCAGTGACATGACTAAGGTCACACTGATGGTTAGCACCAGAGTTAGAATTTGAATTCAGGTCCTCTGACTCCAAAGCCAAAGAGAGAGAGAGATCCTTGGAAAGACCAGCCCAGAACCTCGTGGGACTCCTTGGCCATTCTTAATTGGACAAGGAAGCTAGGTCTGGGTTCCAGGGCTAGAACAGGAATCCAGGGCCTCCATTCAGGATGGGACCTGGGACCTTCTAAGCAACATTTCCCACTTGAGTGAATGGCTTGGTATCAATGTGTTTCATCTCTCACACAGCCCTGCTTGTAGTCCAAAGTTAGGCTCAGGAAGGGGAATGGCATGACACCCAATGGTCCAGGGGTTTTTCTTAGACTTTTTACCGCTTCCTGACACCAGAACGTGCTCAGCTTTCCACCTGCTTTGGGCCTCCAGGGAGAATTTCACTAGCCTGATTTGTGTTTCTGACTTTGTCTAATGCCATTGATGCTACTCGGAGCACAAGGCTGCCTTCTCCTCTTCCCCACTCTGAGCTGAGTCACCATCTCTGTTTTCAAGGGACAACAGAAGTCGGGAATCTGCGTGTTCTTAAAGGGAAGCTACCCATGTGGCATCCAGAGGCTCCCCCCGTTCCCTCTCTGTGGGGAGGGCTGGGGGGATGGGGAATTCTCTGGGCAGTTAGAAGAGAAAGTGAAATTACCTGACTCCACTAAGAGCAGGTCGCTGTGACTGATGTCATTCCTTTTTGGATAGGGTTATGAAATTGGTAGATCAGAGGACTGCTTTCAATACAGTGATATTGTCTGTCATGTAAACCAGATGGGTCACAGTATCATTGATGGCCAGATTCAAAGAGTAGTCATTGGTGGTTGAATGTGAGGATGGCCAGAAGTCCCCAGTGGAGTGCCACAGGGATCTTGGGTCCATGGATAGAAGCACCGATCTCATACTTACCAGCCTTACAAGTGATCCCAAACTGGGAGGCAGTTAAACCCAAAAAGTTAGAGGCCAGCAGTGAATGTCAGCCTCTGGCTGGGAAAAGCCTGCCTCCTAGTGTCCTGTCCATGTCCCACTGAGTCCTCCAGGGGATGCCGGGGAAACTGCCTTGTCCGCCAGCGGGTCTGCGGTGGCCAGTCCAGGGTAATGGGAGAGTCCCGGCTCTGCTCCTGACCAGCTTGGATTGAAAGATCAAATCACTTCCTGTCCATTGATGACTAATTCCCCGAGAGGCCAAGGCAGACACGGGCTCTCCAGGTCTCCCCTTGGCCCTCAGACAGGGGTCATGGAGCCACCCTCCGATTGCTCATCCTGGGGGCTCAAGCCCACAGCGTAGAGCTGGAAGGCACTGAGAGAGACCTTCTGGGCTGGTCCCCTCACTTAACAAAGGAGGGAACAGTCCCAGACCTATGCCCAACTCCTACATGTAAGGTGCTCGCAGCCTCAAACCCTGGTCCTCTGATGCCCTCCAGGGCACCTGCAGTGTACTGCCCCCATTCCTCCTACAAGCCTGGTCATGTTACCAAGGAGGGAACCCCTCCAGGACCACTGGGCTGGGCCTCAATTCAGAGAACAATGCGATCAACTGTTGTTGTTAGTGTTTTAAGGTTTTCAGATCACTTGGCAGGCTTTTCTTCAAGCCTCATGACCCTGGAAAGTCTACATACTACAGCTATCACCCCCATTTTACAGATGAGAAACTGAGATTCAGAGAGGTTAATTAACTTTCCCAGGGCCACAAAGTTGGTAGGTGATGGAGCTGAATTTGAACCCAGGTCCCCAACCCCAAGCCACCAGCTCTTTCCCACACCTGCCTTCCAGTAATAGTAACGACGCTCCTTTCTAACACATTTTTTCCCCACACCCATTAGAGGTGGGTTGTGGGATCACATCCTCCCTTTGCAGACAAAGAATCTTGATCAGCAAAGTCCAGTGACTTGTCCAAAGGGCTTCTCAGTAGCAGGGCCCCAGCTTGAATCCAAACCGCTAGAAATTGGCAGGTCTACACAGCCAGTCAGCAGTGATGCAAAGACGAAAGTAAGCTGCCTGCCCTTACAGAGCCTCTGTTCTCTCTGGGGACATGGGAATGTTCATGGATCATTCTGCAGAGGTTTCTTTTGCTCTGTGCAGGGAGGTTGCTGTCGGTTCTGCACGGAATTGGGCCAGTTCTGAAGGAGGAAGTGGCGATCCGTTCCCCTGGAGGGGGCAGGCAGGTCCAGTCCCTGCAGCGGGGTCAGTGGTTGGAGGAGTGAGGAGGAGGGGCTGGGTCTACAGGCCAGCTTGGCCACAGCGCAAGAGTGGGCAGAGAATGCATCCTCCTGGAAAGGTCTCAAGCCCCTTGCGAAGGGCTTTAAATGCTAACTAGAGGAGTGGGCATTTTAATCCCAAGATCTTTGGCAACCAGAGCAGAAGAGGGACCTTGAGGGATTTGTACTTTAGGAAGGTGACTTTGGTGCCAGAGTAGAGGTCGGATCAAGGGGGAGAAATGTGGGCAGAGACACCAGCCAAGGTAGTCCTCGGGGGAGGGGATGTGGTTCCTAACGATGGTGACAGCTGGGCGAGAGGAGAGGAAGGGACAAATGGAGAGACGCTGAGGAGGGAGAGTTGGCAGGGCTGGCAACTGCCGGGATATGGGAGGTGAGAGGGAGGGAGGAGTCAAGAATGCCTCTGTGGCCGGCACCCCTGGGCGCCCAGAAAGATGGCAGTGCCCTGGACGGTAACCAGGAAGTCACGAAGTGGGAGGGGGTGACGAGGTCTGCTTGGGGCATGATGACTTTGAGCTGCCCATGAGACATGCAGCTTGAAATGTCCCATTGGCATGGGTGACCGGGGATGGTGACATGGGAGATAAATAGTCACATGCATAGAGATCTGCAATGATTCCATGGAAGCTGGTGAGAGAGAGACAGAGGGAGAGGGAGAGAGAGAGAGAAGAGAGAAAGATGAGGGAGGGATGGATGGATGGATGGACGGACAGGTGGGTAGACAGACAGAGCGAGCACTTCCTAAGCCTCACTCTGTGCCAGCCAGGCACTGTACTAGGTACTGGGGATACAGACCCAAGGAACAAGGTGTCCCTGCCCTCAGGGAGCTGACATTCTAGAAGGGAACACAACGTACAAGCAGAGCTGGAAAGGGGGCGGGGAAGGTAAATGGCAGATGGGGAGGAGAAGTCCAGGCCCCAGGAGGCAGACATTACCCTCACTCTTGGCAATGGACAGTTAACCTCTGAACAGGCCTGGGGCACCGAGTGGTGTGGTCAGTTGCCTTCGTGATCTAACATTTACCTGAAATCAGCGGCCGGGTTGTTGGAGTGCTGGCCCCTGACCTGGCCTTCCAGGCGTGGCGACAAAGCCTCCATCTCCAGAAGGCCTGCCCTGGATGCTCTCAGCCCATTTTCCCGCTTCTTCCTGGAAATGTTGGCTTTAATCTGATCTCGGAGTGCTCGGTGCTCTCGCTAGTCTGTTCCCGTGGTCTGATTTGCAGTCTCTGTGATTCAGCCCCCCTTCCCACTAAACCATGAGGGCAGGGCAGGGCAGAGGCTTCCCTTCTCTGGGCCCCGGGCACCTTTGGCAGTCCAGCGAAGCCTAAGGACCCTTCTCAGACGTCCCGGGGCCTTCCATGAGGCCCTGGCATCGCCCTGTGGAGGCCGCCGTCCATTCTGCCCATTCCAGCCTGGCAGGTGGTTCTGGGAAGGAGCAGAAGCCAAAGAGATGATTTGGGGCAGATGTCTCTTGGAGGGATCCTGGGAAGAGGGTGAGAAAAGTCAGTCTTTTAAAAGTTTCTCATGTTTTTAAATGCATGCGATAAAATGCAGGGGATTGCCAAGGAAACCGGTTGTCTTGGAATAAAAACGCACAGGTTTCCCATTGAGGTCCACAGACTCAGGCCAAGAGCCCTCTGGTGGAGAAAGCCGGTAGCACAGGCTCCGACGTTTACCGTCCGCACCGGCCATCACCTCTGCCTCCAGCCAGCCCTGCTTTTCACTCAACTGTGGAAGTCCCCGGGAGCCCTCCCTCCCCCTCCCCCACCCCTTCTGTCCTGACTCTATCTTTCCATCCTCCCTTGTAGTTTTTCCCCTATGGAGATGCTTCCAAGTTCGCCCAGCATGCCTTCCGAACCTTCGACAAGAATGGGGACGGCACCATCGACTTCCGAGAGTTCATCTGTGCCCTCTCCATCACCTCCAGAGGCAGCTTCGAGCAGAAGCTGAACTGGGCTTTCAACATGTATGACCTGGATGGTGACGGCAAGATCACCAGGGTGGAGATGCTAGAGATCATTGAGGTGAGGCCGATGTGGAGGAGACTCTTCCTCTACTCCTTGGGTCACCGGTCATAGACCTAGAGTCCAGTCCTGTTTTACAGAGGAGGAGACTAGGGCAGACTGAGGTGGAGTGACTTAGGGTCATGTGGCTGGTAGGTGTCTGAGGCAGGATTTGAACCCAGGTCTGCCCGACATCGTGGGGGTTCATACTTGTAATCCCAGTTATCAGCGGGGCCAAGCTGCCGTGGGTGACGCCCATCAAGGTAAGTTCAGCACTGACAGGGTGGGAGCCACCATGCTGCCTAAGAAAGTGGGAACCAGCTCGAGTCAGACACAGAGCAGGTCAGAGCCCCCGTGCCTCCTGCTCTGGCAGCCTGCGCAAGGTGGGTACCCCGGTCTTAGGAGAAAATAAATATTTAACTTTAAAAAACATACAGAAAATGGGGAGGGTTGTACTCAATGACCCTATAAACTCCTCTGATGCGGACCCCAGGCCTCTCCCTTTCCCTGGGTCCACTTTAATCCCTGTACATTTCTTAGATGTCACCTGACAGATGGTGTGGGCCTAGAGGTGGGAGAGCTGGGTTCGAATCCTACCTCAGACACTTGCTAGCTGTGGGACCTGGGCCAAGTTTCTTAAGCTCATGAGCCTCCCTTTCCTCACCTGGGAAGTTGTCAGTAACCTTTGAACTCCTGCCATCTCAGAGATGCTGGGACAGAATCCTGAAAGTCTGTGGAGTTGGGAATTGTTGTTACTACTGCATGCAGGGCCATGTGCAGGAGACTGGAGGAGGGGCACAAAGATGAAATAACAGGATAGCCCACCGTGGCTGCTTTCGGGGCCGCCAGGCTTAAGAAGTCACCTGGTGTGAGAGGAGATTGGACTGTGAGCCAGGGAGACTTGAATTTAGACACCTGCTGTGTGATCCTGGGCAGGTCTGCCTCAGTTTCCTCAACTGTGAAATGGGGATACTAATAGCACCTGCTTCCTTGGGTTGTGGGAAGGACCCAATGAGATGTGAAGTGCTTTGTAAACGTTGCTCTAAAAGGCTAGCTATCACCATCACCACTGCTATCACTACTACTCTGCTAGGAGAGATTCACCTGTACATGAATAAGGATGACCCAAGGTAGGCTGCCAAGAGATCCAGGCGGAGTACTTTGGGAAGGTGAGAGCCCAACCCGTGGGGGAAATCTGGGTGAGCTCCACAGTGGAGCCAGCCCCCGGCTGAGCCCTGGAGGAAGAGGAGGAGGATTTCAGAGGGTGCTGAGGAGAAGAAGGAGGAAGAAAAAGAAGGGGGGGGGGATGAGAAGGAGGAAGGGAGTTCCAGGTAGAGAGGTAAGAATAATCAGGGTGGGCATGCCCAGGAGAGAACTCCCTTCTCTGCAGTTCACAGTCTCGATTCTTGCCTCAGGCACTGAGAGCTCGAGGCTTGTCCAGGGTCACTTGGCCAGGACCCCTGGCTCCTAGGCCGGCCCCGCCTTCCCTGAGCCCTCTGGCTGCCTCTCACAGTGACCCTGCCCCTGGAGCCACGCTAGGTTCTGACCTTTTCCCCTCTGCAGGCGATCTACAAGATGGTGGGCACCGTCATCATGATGAAGATGAATGAGGACGGGCTGACGCCGGAGCAGCGAGTGGACAAGATCTTCAGCAAGATGGACAAGAACAAGGATGACCAGATCACGCTGGATGAGTTCAAAGAAGCGGCCAAGAGCGACCCTTCCATCGTGTTACTGCTGCAGTGTGACATTCAGAAATGAGGCCAGGCGGACCAGGACGTGCCCATTTCAGTCTGCAGTCACACACACACACACACACACACACACACACACACACACACACACACAACATTGCTTGGGTTACCTGTATCAATGGATTTGCTTTCTGTGTTTGAAACACTTGTGTGCATGAGAATTTTACTTGCTAAAGAATTTTAAAAGTCTCTATATTATAAAAAGAAAAAAAAAAGAGGACCCAAACAGCAACCATGTGATGTGTACAATGTCATTCCATGCCCCTGCCCTCCCTGCCTCCTCCGCAGGGCAGCCCCCCATTCATGTTCTCCCCCGCCCATCATGCTCATCCCTCTGTGTCAGTGATGAATCCCCCCGATTCTGTAACTAATTGTTTGATCTAAGCTGTGTTGCCATCCCTGCTGCCGGACAGACAGACAGACAGCCGTCGGTCCATCCCCAGCTTCCTCCACTCTCTTGCTCACTGGGGGGAGCCTGGCCCCCTCTCAGAGCTTGTGCTATCAGTGAATGTCGATATGTCTCATCTGCATGTATGCCTCTTAGTCAGGTCTGCCTTCGATCTGGTCTCATCTGCATCTTTTCCATCCGAAAGACCTATGTACGAGGAATGCAGTATCACATGTAACAAACCCCCTGCTCAAATGCTCTCTTAATTAAGACATCTATCTTGTCTATCTATCTATCTATACACAATCACACAAAAGTCTAATTATTTATTGGAAGTTTAAAAAAGGTTATTGGAAGTGTATGGATTTCTGTTTGGTTTTCAGAAGCTTCCAAAGAGGTTGCAATATATGTCCCAAATAAATTTATAATATTTGACTTTTCCCTTAATTCTTATTTCCGGGCCTTCCCTGTTGGGTCACTAAGTGTCGCCGTACCTGACCACTGAGCATAGGGCCATCACCTTCACATAAGCAAAGGTCTTCAACAAATCCTTCAAACCTCATCCACCAAAAAGGGTCAGTTCTGTGGCCAGTGAGGTGTAGAGATGGGAGGTGAGGTGATCAGTGATGTCAAACCTCAGAAGCGGGTCGGGGGACCACGGGACCAACACGGGGAGGGAGAGAGAAACCAAACCACGCCAGGGTCACTCGAATCAGCCTGAAGAGGAAGAGCCTTGGAGGGGACACAGCTGCTGTTCCTAAGTTTTGCAGGATTATCCTGGGGAAGCAGGATCAGCCTACTGGTCCAGGTGGTGATGGTGGCGGTGGCAGTGGTGGTGGTGGCAGTGATGGTGGTGGTGATGGTGGCAGTGATGGTGGCAGTAGCGGCGGTGATGGTGGTGGCAGAGGCAGTGGCGGTGTTGGTGATGGTGGTGATGGTGGCAGTGGTGAGGTGGTGGTGGTGGTGGTGATGGTGGCAGAGGCGGTGGCGGCAGCGGTGGTGGGGACAGGGCACAAGCAGGATCAGTGGGGGAAGTTGGGAGGAGGATATTTTAGGTTTGACGTCAGTAGTGAGAACCGCCCCAAAGTAGAAGACATGAGGATGCTGAAGGTCAGAGCATTACAGATTTAGAGATGGCAGGGCCCTTGGTGGCCATCGGCTCCAACGCCCTCATTTTGCAGGTGAAGAAGCTGAGGGACTTGCCCAGGGTCACCCAGGGAGCTAGGAGCAGAGGCTAATTTTAACTCCGGTCCTAAGGCAGTATTCCCTCCTAGAGCACGGATCTGCGCAGAGCGGGGAGCTGAGACCAGGCGCCATCTTGTTTTTTTCATATGGACCAATATTTCTAAAATTCCACTGGCTAATGGGATCTTGGGCATAGATTCCAGGAATAGGGAGGTGATGATCCCACTCTATTCTGCCCTCCTCAGACACCACCCAAAGCTTCATGCCTAGGTCGGAGGTCCATGGTTTCAGAAGGACATTGATAAGCTGCAGAGGGTCCAGAGGACAGCATGGTGGAGGACCGGGAGTCACTGATGTGGATCAGTTGAAAGCACTAGGTGTGCAGAGAAGGCTCAGGAGGGCCTTGATAACCACCATCCAGGGTTGGGATTAGCCCTGGGCCATTTGGCCCCAGAGAGTAGAGTCCAGGGACAAAGGATGGAAGCCAATAGGGGCCAATTGAGGCTTGACCTTAGGATAACGTTCCTAACAAAGCTGTCCAGTGGGGAGTGGGTTCTTTGGGACAGAGTGGGCTCCCCACCACCGGAAGTCTTCTAACAGCCTTGGAGGCCCCTTCCAACTCTCAGATTCACCCCAAGGCTCCATCATTCATTAAGAATGGCCCAGTGTCACCCGAATTAAATTCTTGAAACGGAGTGACGTTCCTGAAGCTGACTGCCTTCAGGGTGTCTCTCCCTGGCAGCCTTGGTCCTTCCCGGAGAAGGGATGGGATCGCTCCAGGGGCAGATGACTAAAAGGAGCTCAGGGGAGCATCTGCCTTCCCTCTTTCCACTCTGAGGAAGTGTGATTTCACCACTTCCTCTGCCAACAAAGAGGGAAGAGTCCAGCTTTTAGGTGCTAGGAGAGACCTCAGCAGTGGGAAGGAAGTGATTAGTGGCTCTGCCCTTGGCTAGGCTGGTACCAAAGACTCGTACCAAGCCCACTCATTACTTTGCCAGAATGCAGGAGCTGCCAGGGCCTGTACTCCACCGGCAGAGCTTTGTCCCCTCTGGGCCACAGTGATCTTCATATACATACAGACAGATTCATACATACATTGTAGTGCCTACAATGTGTCAAGTGAGAGGGAGAGTGGCATAGTGGGTAGAGAGCAGGGCTTGAAGCTAAGAAGCCCTGGGATTGAACCCTGCCTCTGGCCCAGAGGCATGTGGCATGTGACCACAGACACGTCACTTCCCCGTGGAGTGCTTGAGGTCAACTTTGAAGACTGTTAAAGTACATAGAACATGCAGAGGTACATGGTAGAGGGGCGTTCCTATTCTGGGAGTTTACCGGATCACGAAATCACAGCTCTGTCCCTGAGTGCCTGGCACTAGTGAAGCTCGCCCAATAGTTCCTGCCCTCAAGAAGCTTACGCTCCTAGGAGGAGACAACAGGTACGCACACAAAAAAATGCCAACTCCAGAGAGGAAATACTGGGTCATTTGGAGGGGTAGGAGAGAGTGACCAAAGGCTGTACAGAAAAGGTCAAGGAGAATGAGAATTGAGAAAAGGCTACTCGATGTGAGGTCACTGGTAACTCTGGAGAGAGCACGGTCAGTGAAGGGTGTGGTCAGAAGCCAGAGTCGAGAGGGGAGTTTGAGGAAAGGACGTAGAGGAACTGAATTTGGCCACAAAAGAAGGGAGCTCTAGAACAGCATCTCTTGGGGATGGATCAAATGAAGGGCTTGGGGGCTTTTTCATGGGGACACATGGGTGTGTCTGCATGAAGCAGAGAAGCAGCCAGGAGACAGGAAGAGCCTGAAGATGAGTGAGAGAGAGTGGGGATGGCAGGGAGGCAATCTGCTGGGAAGGAGGGGATGGACTGGGCTCACATATGGAGGGGCTCGCCTTGGCAAGGAGAAGGGCCACCACAATATGAGGCAGGGTGACAAAGGAGATGGCGGCTGGAGGCACCTGAGGGACGGCAGATGAGGAAGAAGGGACAAGGGGGACCCCTCAGGTGAATGGAGGGTGAGGCAGGGCTCTTGGCTAAGAGGGCGAGGGGAAGGGCAGCCCTGGAAGGCGTGAGGAGGGATGAAGGTCTGAAAAAGCCACTGGGACAAGCCCGATAGTGAACTGGTTAGGAAAGCAGTTAGCATGGCGCCTGGCACAGCATATGTTGTTGTTCAGTCAGTTGGGACCTCGTGGACCACACTGCCCACGGGGTTCTCCTGGCAAAGATACTGGCATGGTTTGCCATTTCCTTCTCCAGCTCATTTTGCAGATGAGGAAACTGAGGCAAACAAGGTTAAGCGATTTGCCCAGTGTCACCCCGCTGGTAAGTATCTGAGGCCACAGCTGAACTCAAGTCTTCCTGACTCCAGGCCCAGCACTGAGTCACCTAGCTGCCCCCAGGCACATAGTAGGTGCTTAATACATGTTTATTGAAATGGAAAAAGACTGCCTTCCAGTTGAGGGTCTGTGGACCCCTCAGAACAGTTTCTGGATTTTCTCCATCTTTGTTGGGTAGCAAGTGTATAAGAAAAGAAGGAGGCAGATGCTGGAGCGACCCTTGGGTAAGGTAAGAGCTCCCATCAGCTATAGGATGATTGGGACAGAGACTCGAGAAGAGGGCAGGGTAAAGTGGAGCTGGTTCACCAAAGGGGCAGGAGGGGCAAGGGAAGAGAGCATATAGGGCGATGGCCCAGGAGAGAGGCAGAGGGGAGGGATGTCATGGCGAGGATGAAGAACAGTTTGGCTATAGAAAGCAGTGGGAAAGGGGGACTGAAGAGACTGTGGTAGAAAATGGAATTTAATGCAAACGTGGAGGTGGATGATGGACACATAAAGGGTATGACCGTCTCTGTGTGTGGCTGAGCTGGGGTGGAGAGGGAGGGCATGAGTAGGTTGAGGGAGAGTCAATATGTATGCTGATGTCCCCTAGTGCGAGGGCAGGAGTTGGGGAAGGAGGGACCGAGAGCCAGGGAATGAGCTTATGGAAGAAAGAAGAAGGTCCTGGAGTCTAAACAACAGCTACTAGAATCTTGGGTGGCAGGTCTATGGGATGGACTTCACAGGAGGGTTACCAAGTGACCGTGTTGGAGGGGAGCTGGGAAGCGTCGATGGGGAGCAGAGTATCCCACCTCCTCCACCTTGACTAGTGAACCAGGAGAATGAGAAGTGCAGCCAGTGCTAGAGGAGGTTATGAAGAGGGGTCATGAAAGGGGAGCCAATCTAAGTGAAAGCCAGAATATGGAAGGAGAGAAGGAAAAGGATTTAAAAGGGAAGTATATTACCTACATACCAAGCATTCCAGAGCTTTAGAGTGGGAAGTTGGGGTGGGGACAGTGGTTTGTTGAGGGGGTGGAAATAAGGGAGCAGGTGATAGCTCAGGGTTCAGAATCCCTGGGGTTGGGAGGGTTTGTCCCGGCGAGAGGGCCTTCATCATGGATGAATGAGCTCAAGTCATTATTGTCCACAAGGATTCTGCCTCAAGGGGGAATCCTCTCAGGACAGTCAGAAAGCACCTAGCACCGTGCTAGGTGCCGAGAACACAAACACAAAAGGGGTATGTAGGGTTTAACAACTGGCTCTCCAGAAAACAAACATGACAGATTTAATCTGCATTATTATCATTTCCTTCCTTTAGTCTAGATGATAAGCAAAGCAATAAATCCAGCCCAATTTTGGCAGACTTGCGGTGTGCAAGTGCTTACATTAAAATGTTAACCCCATCTGGCTCCAGCACGCCTCTGAACAAGCACAAAGAAAGATCGTCCCTGCCCTCCACGAGCTGCCATTCTAAAATCTTATCTCTGAGAGAACACAATTAAATTTTATGGAACAGAGTCAGCAATGTGAATTATTCAAAAAAGGTTCCTGTAGGATTGCTGCATTTCTGCGTGATGGGTCAAATCAGAACATCCCTTTGCAAGGCAAAACTAAGTCTATATGTGATATGTGGCAAAAAATCTGAGCATTTCCAAAAAAGCTAACTCTTTCAAAAGGAAATTTCGGTGGGACATTTTCCCCAGTTAGCAAAGGCCATGGATGAGCAGGGAATCATCTGAAGACTGTGCAGCTGTTACAGACCTACCAAGTGCTAGAATACAGTGAAAGGCTGCCTAGCTTTGAGAAGCATGACATCACACTCAAATGAGCATTCCAGCCTCACCTAGTTGATGTCACCAAAGCATCTAAAGAACTACCAGCGGAATTGACTGAGATCTCAGTAGATGACACTGTAAAGCCATTGTTTGATGCTAAGA